AACTGGTCAGAGAAGCATCTAATCATAATAGTGATTATCAATTTTAGTCCCGTCATCGCACGGAGGAGAAAACTGAGGACCTAAAAAGCTAAGTGACTTGGCCAAGGTCACACATCTCATTAATGGCACCCTGTAACTGTTTTTGAAGCTTAAGTTTGAGTCTCTAGAAGTATTACTGTGATACCACTTTTCCAGAGAATACTGGCAATTAAAAAAACACTTGGCCTGACCCTGTCATCCACTTCCTATGCAGTGGCCAAATCCATCAGTCACCGTTCCTGTTTCCCCATCTGTGAGGTATGGCTGTGCAGTAATTATCCTGACATGCCTGGAGTTTTGTATGGCACTAATAAAACCAAGAGGGGAAAGGGGAGGGGGGAGTAAGTACATTCTCAGGCCCTAAAGGAAATCAAGTCGTGCTTACAGAAACTCGGGCAGTGGGCCTAAAGGAAAATCAGGCAGCAGACAGAAAGGAAGTTTGAAAATTCATCATTATACTCTCTTCCCATTCACTGTACCAGTGCGGGGTGCTTAGAATGCATTCTCCTAATGATAGGATGACTGAAGTGGAACATTAAACTACCATTTTGCAGATGAGAAAACTGCTGTGTTTTAAATGATTTGTCTAAAGTTATGCAGGTAGTAAGCAACAGACCCCAGATTTAAACCCACATCACCTAATGCCAAAGTCAGCATTCTTTCCACTGCTCCAAGCTTCCTCATGATGATCACAGAATGCAGAACCCTAGGTAGGCGGGTCCAGATAGGAAAACCACACATTTCCTTCTTCCATATCAATTTTTTTGTTTGTTTGTTTGGTTTGTTTGGTTTTGTTGTTGTTGTTGTTGTTGTTGTTGTTGCTGTTTTTGGCCAGGCAATAGGGTTAAGTGACTTGCCCAGGGTCAAGCAGCTAGTGAGTGTCAAATGTCTGAAGTTGGATTTGAACTCACGTCTTCCTGAATCCAGAGCTGGTACTCCATCCACTGCACCATCTAGCTGCCCCTATGCATTCCCTTCTTTTCCCCAGAACATGGAAGTAGGATGGAAAAGGGGAAGGGGAAAGGAAGGAATAAGTACCTACTATGTGCCAGACACGGTGTCAGACACGGCTTTACAAACGTTATTTCATTTGATCATCACATCCCTGGGAGGTAATTATCATACCCATTTTTTCAGTTGAAGAAACTGAAACAGAGGTCAAGTGACTTGCCCAGGGTCATACTGCAAATAAGTGTCAAAGGCCAGATTTGAATTCAAGTCTTCTAGACTCCTAAACCAGCACTATTCACTTAGCCATATAAACTATTTCAATGGGTGAGGATAAGAAGGAAATTCCTTCCCCACTCCTTCTGCTAGTAGAGGATAGTCATAGGGAAAAAACCTTCCCCTTTGACTGGCTCTTGTCCACTCTACGTGTCACACCCAATCCCATCACCCCTTCCCTCCTCCACCTGTCCTCAGCCTAGGCACTGAGGTAGATACATCTAAAAGTTTGGACTAGCCATACACCTAGGTACTTACACCACGCTGAATGCCCAGGAGCAGCAGTATCAGCAGCAAACACCAGCCTTTTAAGGTTATTCCAGACTTTGTCACTCAAGATAACTTGTCTTTAAACATGGAAGAGGCATTAGATGTACTCAGTGTAGCTTCAAATGAAAGAAATGGGACCAAATAGGTGGAAGCTACAGGGAAACTGATTTTGGCTTAATATAAAGATTAACTTCCTAAGGATTAGAGCTGTTCAACTGTGGATTGTCTGTCTAAGGAGGGAATGAGTTCCACATCACAGAAGATCTTCAAACAGACTGGGGTAACCATTCAAGAATTCTGTCAAGTGGAATCATCCATTAGGCAGGGAGTTGGACCAGATGAACTCTGAGGCCTCTTCTAACTCTGGGATATGAAGACCCATTAAGGTGTCTACCAAAGAAACTGGGTATCTTCCCAGATCTCAATAAGTTATTCTTATTATTTTTTAGTAAATTACAGACTCAGCTTCTCTACTTTTGTAATGAATTCATGGGCATTACAGAAGAGAGCAATGAAACAAGAGGTGTCATATCACTTAATGGGAAGAGTCTAGAAGTTGTGTCATTGCTTAGTTGTTTTCAGTCACGTCCAACTCTTCATGGCCTCTTTTGGGGTTTTTGTGGCAAACAGATTGGAGTAGTTTTTCCATTTTCTTCTCCAGCTCATTTTACAGATAAGGAAACTGAGGCAAACAAGGTTAAGTGACTCGTCCAGGGTCATGCTGCCGGTAAGTGTCTGAGGCTGGATTTGAAGTCAGGTCTTTCTGACTTCAGGCCCTGAACTCCATCCACTGAACCACCTAGCTATGTCCTTTAAAGCTAAATAGGATCAGTTGAATGGACAGCCCAACTAACAGCTGACTCTAACAGTCATTCAGGGTGGCTTTTGAGCAATGCTCGAGTTGTAAGCAAGGCCAGGGGGCAAAGGAAATGCAAGAGCTGATAGCTGGGAAAGTTGGACAGCTAGAACAATCAGGATTTGTATATGTTTTGGGTTATGTCTCATTCTACATGATCTGGATAGTCAGGTTTCTCCTATAGCTCAATCCTCCCCTCCACTTCATAGAAAGGAGCCAACTTTTCCCTTTTTTCACTTTCTCTCCTTGATTATCAAGAAGAGATTACTATCCAATAGTGGCCAGCCTATGTATTGACCTACTCAATACTCTTTACTGCTGCTTTTAATTTGTGATTTCCTACCCCTTGGGAAAGCAAAACAACAGAACTTGGGCAGCTGAAAGAAAAATATTGCAAAAGAAAATTTGAAGTTATATAGAAAATGAAGGAACAAATCTTTTTTAAGACCCTGCGACATGAAAGGTGCAAAGATGGTCATGAGGATTAACTTTTTTTTAACTTTCTTTATTTTTCCTCAGGTTTTTTGTCTGCATTTTTTTCCACAAGATGACTAATATGGAAATATGTTTTGCATGACTACACATGTATAACCTTTATCAAATTGCTTACCTTCTCAATGATAGGGGAGGGGAGGGAAGATGGGAAACAATTTGGAACTCAAAATTGTAAAAAAAATGAAGGCTGAAATTGTTTTTACATGTAATCAGGAAAAAATACTTAAATTCAAAAATAAAAAATAGCAAAGTGAAGTAAGCAGAGCCAGAAAACAACATATTCAATGACTACAACAACAAAACAAAATTGAATACTGTGACACTATAATGAGCAAGATTGATCCCAAAGAGGAGGTCTGAGAATGCATCTTCTTTCTCCCTTCTTTGCAAAGGTGAGAGACTGTAAGTGTGAAACACTACATATTGTCAGACCTGAGCATGTTTCATTAAGTTTTGTTGCAATTTTTTTCTTCTTAGTAATAAGAGAGCCACGGGAATGGGGATGGGGAGATAGGGTAAATAAATATTGGGAAATGGCAGTGACAAATAAACAAGATAGCAAAAAAATGTCAAAAGAAAAAAGTTATTCCTTATTCACACAAGGGCTAATAAACAAAACTTTATTTTCCTTTGATACAAAAATTAAATAGCAAAGTTTCTTTTGTACAGTGATAAATTAGAAATTTACAGTACATACATTATTGCAGATATGCTTTTGTACATCCTAAAAAACATCAGTGTCCATTGTCTTTAAAGTTCAGAAATTCATTCAGGACATGTTTAATAGACTATCATCCTGGTACCTCTATGTCCAACATCTCAGAACCTTCACAGGTTGGCCTCCAGATGGCTGGCTGTAGGGTGGGAAGAGGGGCTATAAGAGCTGGCTGCAATGCCATTTACAATAGGGCTAGTCACATTTCAGCTGTTCCCTCTTCTAAATGCAATCAATACTCAAAGCACCTTCCTTCAAAGGAGCTCAAGAGTCTTTAGTGTTGATACTCCTGCAACCTCACTCACAACATCCCTGTGAGGTAGGTGGGAGCCAGGCAAGACCCACAGGTAGAGACTCTGGCAGTGAGTGGTTTAAGTGACCGACCTACACCTAAGTGCAATAACTGAGTCAATCATTCATTCACAAAAGTGAAATGAGAAAGCACCTTCCATTTATAGGACTCCAGTGACAGGTGCTGAGGAAGACATGATCTCAGCCTTCATAGGCTTTATAATCAAGCAGTAGAATGACGACAACGGAGAGGGGATGAAAATATTTCTGAAACAAAGACCACCTGAAAGCAAAAATAGACATCAGTCTTTCATTGACCAGAAACTCTCTTCTTCGAAATAGACAGAGGACAGACGAACACAGCAATGAAGAAACCAAAAGCACTAGTCTACCTAAATGCCACCTTGAATGATGATGGTGATTTTGAACACTATAGAAGACCAAGGAGAAATTCAAGCACAATGGAAATGAATAGATTTGAGCTAAGCCTCGCTACTTGAGGCCTACCTTGAATCAACACTGCAGACTCTGCCAATTCGAAAAGGAAAAAGAAAAAAGAAAAAAAAAGAGAAGCTTAAATGAGGCCCAAGTCAGTGCCATCAAGGCCAGTTAGACTTAGCAAAAGAAAGCATTACAGCAGGACCTTTGTTACAACACCATTCTCAAGGGCCTACTTCACGCTGTGTAAATTATGTTACCCAAGTAGCTGGCAGGAAGTAGAGCTAACCAGATTGGCTGAGAAAATATTTTAGTGAAATCAAATAAATGCCACTGCTTTAAAAAAAAAATAGGCAGTATATTCACTCCCTGGTCAAGCAAAGGGTTCTCTTGGCAGCTGGAAAGAATCCCTATCTTGGGTCTAAGGAGAGGATAGCATAGGTCTTTTTCCCAGGCAAGATACAAACCCAAGTTAGGGGCCTGGGCCCAAGCACAAGAAAGAAAAGAATAAGGAATTTGCCAAGGAACAATAAAGCATGAGTATTTAAATCAAAAGCCCTCTCTAACATGCCTGCTATAGCACAGAACACTAATAATAATAGTAACTAAGATTTATATATGGCTTTAAAGTTTGTAAAGCACTTTACATGCGTTATATATCATTTGAACCTCACAAGTAAGTATTAGAGGTATTACTATTTCCATTTTGCAGATAAGAACACTGAGGCTCAGCCAGGTTAAGTGACTCAATCACAGTCAAACACAGCTAGTGCCCAAGGCAGGATGTGACCTCAGGTTTTCCTGACTCCAACTCTAGCACTCTCTCTACAATTCCATATAGCATGCATGCAGTGTACAGAAGTTTGTGTTACTCTTCTTGGTTTATCCCTCAACCTTCCAGCTCTGGATTTCCCGGCTCTGCTACCCTATAAAAGTACTGCAGTTGCCATTTCTACAAGCAGCCAAAGGTTGCACCATATTTTCAGACTTTGGCAGTGGCTGCTATGAAAAAGAATTATAGGCTCACAGATGTAGAATTGAAAAAATTGTCAGTGATCATCTCAAAATCAAATAGAAATGGGGCCCACTAAAATCCATGTCAGGATCCCTGCAGGCCTGAATATTGACTTAGAAAAACACACACTAAAGTGGGCTGCACTTTGACCCTTCTGATCTAGTCCATCTCCCCCATTTTACAGATGTGGGAACTGAGGCCTGGAGAAGGGAAGAAGTGGCAGGACTGGAGGACATGATGTGGTTCTATTAATAGTAACGCAGTCTCAGGATCTGGATGCCAAGAATACTGAATAGGGGCTAGACTTGGAGTCCGGAAGACTTAGGTTAAAATCCTGCTTTTACCTGATTTTAGGCAAGTAACTTAACCTCTATGTGCCTCAGTTCCCATATCTGTAAAATGAAAGGGTTGGACTCCATGGCTTTTAAGGTTTCCTTCCAAATCAAAATCTAGATCTCCAGTGTAGGAGAGAATTGATGGGGAAACATCAGAAGAAAGCCAACTCATGGAAATGAAGCCTTCTCCCCCTTCCCCCACTTTGTCCGGTTCCAGGACACCTCAGCAAGCTGCTAACCCAGCAGCAGTCCAAGAGGACAGAAAATGGGCCAGCATTAGAGGAAAAGGATGTGAATCAAGTTCAGCCAGACCACCTTGCTTGCCCAAACAGACTCCATAGTAATTCATTCTATTCTGCCCTGAAATTCATCCTGGCCTAAGAAGGGGGAGGGGTGGAAGAGGGAAGGGAAGAAGTTCAGCAGAGATTTGAGAATACTCTGGTTTAATGGTTTAGTAGATTCCCATCTGAAAGTGGATGGAGAGGCTTTGGTTTTTATAGCTAAATTCTCCAGCTACCAAAGAATCTTCCCACAAGTGACAGATGACAACTTCTCCCAAGTTCCAAAGGAAGAAAAGCAGTCTTGGCTTTTTGCCAGGCAAGATGCTGCCACAACATTAACCAAGATAAGCCACAGTGAATCCCAATACAGAGGATAAGAAATGGAATTGCCTGCCAGTGGAATTACCTTCCCCCTCAGACCTGTACTCACAAAGCACTTTGTTTGCAATTGTATGATGCATTTACCATGTAATACTGTATATTAAAGCCATCTGGATTTGTCTTCTCCCCCCAGCAGAGGCCAGGGGCCATGCCTTATCCAAACTTTCTATCTCCCCTGTAGATGCTTAATTTAATTGAAAAGGAGGGCAAAGGATACCTGGCCTTCCTGAAACCAGCAGAGATGGATCCCAGCCTTGCAAAGGAAGGTTGTTTGCATTATGGTCCACAAGGTTTCCCTGCAGAGTCACTGCTGCTTCGCCCCCTGCCATGCCCATGCTCCTACATTAGGGAGTAATCTTAAAAAAAAAAAAAAAGGAAGAAGAAGAAATCACGCAGGGAGGTGAGAGTGAGTGCCAAGAGTGGAAGGCCCCACTTGCCTTACTGCACTAAAGGCCCATGGAACACATGGATGGGCTTTCAGGGAGGCTCCACTCCACTTTGCAAAGTGGACAAAGCAGTTCAACAGACCCAAACGAGGCCAGAATTAAGCAATCCCGTGGTGAAAACCCCTGACAGTAGAATAAAAACGAATGTGTGCACCTTTGTGTCCACAGAGTTGTATACATAGTAGGCATTCTTTGGGTTCAAATGCCAAATGGGATAGAGGTTCTTCAAAGCAGATATAAACTGTCTGAGGCTCTGGCTACAGCAAAAAGCCAACTAACACACTGTGGAAAACACAGATGCAAACATCATTCCACCAAATTCCTCTGCCTACTCTTAACCTAGAGTCTATATACTGAAGAAAAATATTTTTAATAACTGTATTGCAATTTAATTTGTTGTAATACACTAACATATTGCAATATAATTTGTTTCCTCGGTAATCTGGTGTCTTTTACATTTTGTATGTAAAATCATTATTCTGAAAAGGGGTCCATAGGCTTCCCCAAACTGCTTCCAGAGGGAAGGGTTCATGCTGCAGAACAGGTTAAGAATGCCTGCTCTCAGTCTTAAATATATCATTCATTTGAAAGGCAGCAGGAGGGAAACTTGGCAAGGTAATCTACATGGTCCAAGCTTCAACTCAGCTAGCAGAGGTGACTGCTACTGATTGTGGACATTTTTACCTTAGAAGGCAAGAGACTTGATGAGCAGTGTGGCATGTCAGCACCTAGCAAATGACCAACACTGCAGCATGTGAAAGCTGGTCTCCTGACTTTCCCACTCGAGTATTCTCTCCTACTAGATTAGACTGCCCAAGTCACAAGATCACTGAAATGTTAGGATTAAAAGACTTATAAAATGCAGAATTGTTAACAGCCAGGCATCCATATTAAGCCTCAGTTAAGTCATTCTCCCTCCTGAGTAGTTCTTCCTCCTTTCCCTGGGCCAGATTTGATGCACAACTCCCTAGGCACTGGAGTAGAGCGTGAGTAAGGGCAGATTCTGCCCCTGTGCAAGCATTTGGTGGCCCTGGACATTTATGGGAACTGTCTGTGTGCAGAACAGGGAGTTCAAGGTTTACATTCTACATGCAATACAGTCTCTGATTTAAGCTAAACTGATTCACGCCAGCCTTGCCAAGGATCCTTTCTCAACCTCCTAGAGTCGTGACTGATCATACCAGTCACGGTGTTCAATATTTGACAGAAGCAAGCAATAAAAGAAGCTTATCACCAAAATCTGGCCACTTACTTGGAATTCTGAGACTCTAGATACATATACAAATCAGAGGGGCCAGAGCTTTCCTATTTAAAGAATACAGTTTGTTTAAAAAAAAAAAAAGATGAATGAACCTATGATATGCTGTTGCTAAGTAGGGGCTACATCCAAGGCTGGTTATGAATTGGATGGAAAGGATCAAAAGTATGTCCAGTAATGGCAAACACTGCATTTGTTGCAGACTAGAAGCCTAAAGAAGGTCTTAGGCAGGTTAATGCTTGGGACAACTACATTTTCAAAAGAACTGCTATTTTCCAGAAACTGCTAGAGTTCTCCTTCAATGTGAAGCAAGTTTTCACAGTCCAAAGCATGGGGCCAGTCAACAATGGGGCAATTAAGACCTGTGAGTTCTCAGCACTAGGCAGGTTTATATGGTTTACACTATGTCCCCTGCTAACTAAACAAGGTCCTTGCTGGAAGTCAGGAGATTCATTAAGCACCATATAAATACTTCAGGCCATGCTGCCTCCGAGGGAGCCAGCAAGAGCCATCGCCAATTACTAGGAAACAATTGTGCACCAAGGAGTTGTATTTGCTCCTCTCAGATCCCTTTACAGAAGGGAAAATGTCTCCATTGTTGAATGGAGGAGACCAGACTCTGATAACATTCTTACATTTTTTAAAAAATGTGCTATCATTCTGAGAATGCAAGCTGACCATAGCTTAAAGTCAGGCAGGGGACTATGTCATGGTCGGAGAATGTGCTTTTAATTGTAATTGACACACACAAATTACACAGTTAATCTGTGTGAACACAAAGTTGCCAAGAAACTTAACATTTTAGTCCTTCCAGACTGGCGTCTGCAGAGATGCAATCACACAAAGTGAAATATATTAAGTCTTAATTGCTCATTGCAACGGGTCTCTGGGGTGTGTAAGGTAAGTAGACTTGGTAAATCTCATTTTTCTCTGAATTAAGTGATTGTCAGAAAGTGAATCACCCTTAATTCCCCATTCCCCCACTCCCTTGGTCATGCTGTATTTTTTTAATTAGCATAAAGATATGCATTTAAGTCATTAATGCAAAATGTGAGGTGCAGAGGAGTGAAAGACTAATATCCTGGAACAGAAGGAGATACTGAAATAAGGTTTTTCGTTTTGTTTCGTTTTGTTTTCCACTGGGCCCTCTATGTGCTTTTACACTTTGCCCCAACAATCCTATTTCATTACAAAGACAATGAAATATTTTTACATCACCATTGTGGGTATGATCGGCACAGCTCTGAGGAGCAAACTGGGCACCATGGAAAATGTTTAAGTTATGCTGTAAACACCTTTGAAAAAACCAAACTAGAAAACCCTTGTAACACTTCTCTGAACTCAACATTTCCAGTGTTTATTGGTTGGGTTACTATTTGAAAGACCCAGTTAGTATCTGAAATCTTAAAGGGTTTAAAAAGTTAATTTTTCTCCCTGCAAGTTACAAAACATAGCTCTGATAACTGCTGACCACACAGGGGGCAGCAACTTTGACACTAAAGTGGCAGGGTCTGTATACAATGTCAGGACTGCAACCTGCTAAAGTGATCAGCAGTTTGACTTTTCACAGCTTTGAAAGCCTCTATTGGCCTTTCTATTTGGGAGAACGCCACTGCTGGCAGCAGAAATGCTGTAAGGTTACATGTTTGGGGCTCTTTATTTTTTAGTATGTGTTGGGTACTCATACATATGAGCCTTGCTCAAAACGATTGAGGGGGGGGTGCACATTTCTACCAAAATGCAAGCATTTCCCCCTTTGGGGCTTGCAAGTTGGCTGTGTTTATACTACAGTTTCATTTCCTTTCCCGGGCTTTACCCAACCATCTCCCCTCTTCTCTCGTTTTACCTTCCCTGAGTTCACCAGTCTGTTGGAACATTTCTGCCACGTGTGGAGTGTCTTAGCAGACCATATCCACATGCCAGAAGTGATCCCCACCAACAACGACATAAAGATTTTCAGCATCTCGACTGCCATGTTAGAATCATCTGCTGAATAGAGGAAGAGTGTCCAGTTGGAGATCTCATAGAAATAGCAAGCAATCACACACGTGGCAGGCACTGTATATAACACCGAGAAGACTCCGATTTTGACCATCAGCCTTTCTAGCTTGTCTGTTTTTGTCCCATCTTTCTGGAGATTGGATCGGATTTTGAATAAGGCCACCAAGCCAGCAGCAATAAATAATGTTCCAATCACCAGGTAAGTGAAGAGTGGCGCAACTACAAAACCTGTGAGCGCATCCAAGTTCTGGTTCCCAACATAGCACAGGCCTGTAAGTTCATCAGCATCGACCAGTCTCATGATCAAGATGACAATGGTTTTCACTGCTGGGATCGCCCAGGCTGCAATGTGGAAATAAGAGCTGTGCATTTCAATGGCCTCGTGACCCCATTTAAGACCGGCTGCCAAGAACCAAGTGAGCGTCAGAATAACCCACCAGATGGAGCTGGCCATCCCAAAGAAGTACATCAGTAAGAAAATTATAGCACATCCTGTGTTCTTAAGACCTTCTTGGATGAGAACTGGTTCTGCTGCCTCTTCAAAATCGCAGGATATCCTTTCCCTGCCCACAGTCAGCCTCACAATATAAGCAATGCTATAAATATTGTAGCACATACTGAGAAAGATGATGGGACGCTCAGGGTAAGAAAACCTGGATGAATCAATCAGGAAGGTCAGCACTGTGAAGGCTGTTGATATGAAGCACAGGCTGGCCCACATAGCCATCCAGATATCAGTGAACTCCTTGGCTGACCTGCTGTATAAGCCAGCATCATAGCCACACTTCAGGACACAGTTCAGGCTTCTTTTCACCCAAATGTACTGATCCGAATGTGTGCCCATGCTATGACATTCTTCCCCAGGCTGAATGGGTGTCTTATGGGGTAGGGGAACTTCTTCATCACCTGGGCCTTCCATGCACATATGGTTATGGTCATTCTGTGGGGGAAATTTGCTGCAGTTGAGGCTGTCTGGCCAGGCGAACCCAAACTCCTTCAGAACAGGTTCACACCTCCTCTTGACTGAAAGGCACATACCTCCACACGGGCCAATGGGGATGTTGATCTTCTCTGTGCACATTGGCACATACACAGAGCAAAGGAAGAACTAAATGAGCAATGAAATAGAAGAAAACAATTATACAAACAGAATTCAGGCAATATGTGTTTGTTTTCAGAATGGCCCATATTTGTATTTTATTTTTATCTCTTAAGGTAGAATAATGAAGCAGGAAGGAACCTTAGAAATAAATAGCCTGGTCCATCACCTTCATTATACCGATGAGGAAGTTGAGTCCCAGAGGGGTAGGTAACTTGCCCTGGCTAATAAACAGCACAGGCAGAACTTGATTCCAAATTCAGTGCCCTCTCCATACCATGCCACTTCCCCAAATAGCACAAAAATAATGCATTCTCCTAAAGTAATGACATCCCTAGTTTAGCTCATGTACTTCTTTGCAGTAGAAAAAGGCACCACGGATTAGTGGGTAGACTCTGGACTTGGAATCAGTAGACCTAGAGTCTGATCCCTGGGTCCTGGGTTAGCTACTTACTAACTTGTACAAACATGAGCAAATCATTTACCTTTGGTGAGCCCCAGTTTCCTCCTCTGAGAAACAGGGATAATATTTGCACTATCTAGCTCAGAGGGTTGTGGCAAAGATTAAATTAGATAATAGTTACAGGAACCATCCATGGAAACCCATAGAACTTGGGAGCCAAGGGACCTTAGAAATCAGTTTAGTCCAAACTCCATTTCTACAGATGAAGAAACTGAGGCCAGAAAGGCCAACTCACTGGCTAGTCAATGGCAGAGCCAGGACTCAAATGCAGCTCTCCTGAATCCAAGTCTAGTATTCCACCACTGCTTTATAAACATATTATTATTATTATTCTAGTAGAACAAAGAAAGTTGAGGGACATGATTACACAATCCACTTTAGAACAATATGTAAGTAAAAGCCAAGCACTCTAACTCATCTTTGGCTCCCATTTGAAAGAGTCAACGATAATCTATTTTTCTGTAGTACTTGATGGTTTTAAAACCACTGCTCTTATGACTACCCTTCAAGGGAGGCCATGCAAGATTTATTAATCCCATTTTGTAAATGAAGAAACTGGAGCTCAGAGAGGTTAGCAGACTTGGCCAAGGTTACACAGAGCTGGGCTTCAAGCCCAGTTAGCCCAGTTCCAAGCCCTTCACACTTGTCACTGTACCCTTTCCAGTCACTTAATGCTTGTTAGTGATTGATATATCCCTCTGTCTAAATTATGTTGGCCATTATTGGAAAGAGACATTTGACTTCCTACCACATCAATATTTCCCTCAAAGTAAAATGAAATGATCTCCTTTGTGCCCCACGCTTCCCAATCCCCATATCCCTCTCTTCCTAAACAGTTTGCAATGAAATAGATATTTTGATATAAGCCTTCAACCATTATGCAGTGGAGACATTTTTGGACCCATGTACAGGACGGAAACCTAGGACTTCTGTCACAGGAACTCTTTCATAAATGAGTATTCTAAAAACCCCATCTGAAAGCCCCTAAAAACTCTGTTGTCACCAATAAGAGTACAGTCCCTGTCCTCAACTCGTCCAGCCCTGATAAACAGTCTCCATGGCTCCTTACAGATGTTGTCTGTGAAGGCTACAGTTACAAGTGACTGTTTTCCAGCATGAACAGAGAGCCAGTCCTGTCCTTCAAACCGCTTGGCCGCTTCCCCAGCATACATGTAATTAAAAATACATATCCCTGTGGAAGCATTTTCCTCCAGCAAAATCACCACTGAGGTCAGGCTATGTGTTGTTTCCAAAATAAGTGCTGGAGGATCACTTCTTAAGCCCATATAAATTGCCTTTTAAGCCAACTCCAAAGTTCTGAATTTCCCAAAAGCAGAAAGCCTGTTCTGTGGTAAAGACAACTCAACAGGGAAGAGGACCGACCCAAATATCTCTCTAAATGTAAATCTTGGCTTGAAGTCATTTTTAAAATTACTTCTGTGGAAAAAAAAAAACTATACATGTCATCCATCGAGAGGCTCTTTTTGAGCAAAGTGATCAGGAGTTCTTATCCTCCCTTACCTGGACTCATGGGGCTCAGGGCTAGATTTCAACTTGGATGGGAGAAAAATGTATATCACTATGTCTCTGTTTCCTTTGTAATTCTACATACATAAAAACTTTATTCTGAGAATGGGTCCACAGGCTTCACCAGACTGCCAAAGGTGTCCATGGCACACAAAAGAGTTAAGAACTATGGAAGTGAACTCAATAAAGAGAGAGTAGCTTCTTGCTACCTTATCTGTAGATGTTACACTCCAGAGGCTAGAGATTTCTGGAGCTTTCTGCCTGGACACCTACTATTAGGAACACAGGATCTGGAGTTGGGAGGGAGCTTTACAATCTACCCCACACATCTGACAAATGATGAGACAAAGAAGGTAAGTAATTTACCATTCCTATCTGGGGGAGTGATCTCCTAACTAGTAAGTGGCAGCTGGAATTCGAACCCAGATGATCTGACTCCCAACGTGGTCTTCTTATATATCAAGTAAATGTGAGTATATGATCTGCTCTAGCTTATTCTGCTGCCCATTTCACCACTTCCATCTTTTCACAAGTGGTTTCCTTCTCCTTTAACTAAATCCTTCCTGAGTGTGAGGAAGGTCTAGGCATCTCCAGTCCCTTGAAATGTGGGAAACCATCAGAATGCAACAGGATTGTATTTCGATGGTGAACATCAACTCCTGCGGTTAGTATTGAAGAAAAGAGAATTAAAATAGAGTGACAAATTTATTTAACTGACTCGGACGAACTGCGAAGAGTTTCTATTTTATATATAAAATTTTACATATAGAATAGAAACGGGGGCGGGGGTAGAGAGGGAGGAGTTCCTTTACGTTCAAATCGAAGCTGCAGCTGGCTAGGGTGGCAGGCACTCTCTTGCACCAATCCACCAAACGGTGACCCCCTAATCTCTGGCTGAGATAACAGTCTCCAGTCCTTCCCTCACTCTGCTTCTCTAGGATTAGGGGCTTGGCCAGACAGGGGTGAGAAAGGGAGAAAAACGTTAGGGCGGGGTGCAAGAGAGGGTTCTTTAACAGGCCAGATGACTTACACAATATTTGGCTTTCAGTCTCTGAAAAGGGGGAGTAAAGGGGGAGTCACTTTCCATCCAGACTTTTACCCTTCCCTTCAGGCTGCAGAGGTAAGGGGCTCTATCTGGCGAGACATCCAAAGTGGGAACGTTTGAGACCTAGCCTCTGTTCAGTGCCAGACGGGTTGGAGGGGAGGTTAGGGGTAAGGGTTTTAGGGCACGAGTGGGAACGGGGAGGGAATCGGGAGGATCAGTGCCCACCTGTAGCTGGCTGGAGCAGCCGTACTGGATGAGCGGGGTAAAGGTAGTGAGCTGCAGCTCGGCGTCGGTCTGCAGCTCGTGCCCCACTAAGTTGGGCATCTTGGTCACGTTGTACCCCAGGTTCTGGCACATCGAGATCCGAATGGGGTCGCAGCGCCTCTCCTCTTCGTCCCCAAAAGCCCGCGCCTGCCCCAGCAGCAGCAACAGCAGCAGCAGCCCCAGCAGTGGTGGCGGCGGCGGTGGGAGGCTGAAGCAGACACCGCCGGACGTCCTCGGGACCCTCAGTCCCAGGACCCGCCGAGCCATGGCCAGGGCCAGGGGGAGGGGGAGGCGGCGGCGGCGGCGGCTCCGGCCGTTGGCCCAGAAACCCCCAGTTTGCAAGAAGAGCCGGCAGGCGAGGGAGGGGAGGCGGCCCCCACTCCGGGGTGACTGGAGCAAGAAAGCCGAAGCAAGAGGTGGGAGAGGGAGAGAGGGAGAGGAGCAGGAGGACAGTGGCTACCTCCGGGGGCAGCTGCAAGCGGCTGTGCAGGGTATCAAATGCCCCGGCCCCCGGCGGAGGGGGGGACTCCCGGGGTCATGGCTGCAAGCCGCAGCCACCCCGGCTCCCGGCTCTTGGTTTCTCGTGCTCCGCTCCGCGTCTAGCTACGCCGCTCCTGTCCTCCTGAACCAAGCTCCACAACGCTCTCCCAGCCCAGAGCCCTTGGCCAGGCGCTGTTTTCGCGAGGCGGCGGCTGGGACTTGACGGACTGCGGGCAGCTCCAATGGGAGGGCGCCGCCGACCTGGGAAAGGCGGGGTCTGCAGGGAGGAGGGGGTGCTAGACAGAGAGAGAGGCGGAGCGACTGGGCTGTTAGTAGAAGGGTCAGTCCCCACCACCCCCTCCCTCCCACCCTCTCCCCCGCGCTCCGCCTCCCTACTCTTTCCTCCCACCCGGAGCGCGGGGCTCTACAGGGACCAGGCGGGGATGGAGCGGAGTCGCTCCGTCCCCACCGGCCCCTCCCCCTCCAGTCCCAAATACCCACTCCTCTCCCAGGTGGGAAGTGCTTGGATCTCTCCTCCCCACCTCCCTCTTCGCTTCTTCATCCAACTGTCAACTCTAGCCCACTAACTCTTTCCACTCTTTCATCACTCCCTCCCCCGCTGCCTCCCCCCCCCAAAAAACTCCTTAGCGGTCTGGATAGTCTTGAGACCCTTCTCAGACCCTGCTAAGCTGCCTCCCCAGCGCCTCCACAGCTCCGAATCCTCTCTGCACAGCTGATGGCCCAAGCCCGCGGGGTGGGGTAGGGGTAGGGGGTGGGGGAGTCGGGGGGTTGGGAGGATGGGGAAAGAGATAGAGTAGCAACACTGGGGAAGCAAGACCCGCCGAAGATCTTGCTCTCTGATTTCCTAAATATATGAAATGAAATTCCACATGGGGACCCAAAAGGAAATGAGACCGGGACGCTCTGTGCTTCTCTGCCCGCCGCCCTTCCTGTCTAGGGGACATGATTTCTAAATAAGGCTGGGGGAGGGAGAGGGGATGCTTGACCTGTGCAAAGAGGGCGATGTTTCCATCTAGGAGAAAGGGAAAAAATATTAGATCTCAGCTTCCAGTTCTTCATCTCCCAGTCTCTGAGCCCCAAACGTAATAGACGGCTCCCCTTTCTTTCTCATTGTTCCCTTCAAGTTAATAATAATGATAATAATAATAACTCACCTTTATATAGGGTTTTCGGCTTTACAAAGTGCTTTGTTTATTACACTATAAATCAGTGAGGTGTAATGGAAAGCGTGCTGTATCTGCTGTCAGGAGACCTAGCTTGGAATGCTACTGAAGGCTTTGACACCAGCAGCATGATCATGGGCACAAAAGCTTAAACCTCGAGGAGCCTCAGTTTAGTGTGGGGAATAATCATACTTGTACTTGGTACCTCACAGGGTTATGGGAGGTGGGGGGGAGAGGGAACCTTACAAACCCTAAAGTGCTATGTAAATATGTATGTTGTGCCTCATTTCTAAAGTCAAGTCAAATAGGCAGGGCCTACTAAGGGCTAGAAACAGTGCTAAGCGCTGAGAATATAAGCAGAAAAGCAAAAACAGCTCACATTCTAATGACGGAGAACACATGCAAATAATTAGTTATCATTTAACTACTAAATGGAGGGCGGAGCAAAAACTCCTACCATAGCCTCTCTTTTGTAGAAGGCGAAGAATCCCAGTCATCTCTTCATTTGCCACTTGCTCAGCTTGGTTTCAACTCCAACAGTCCCCTGCCGAGTCTCTTACCTCCACCTCTGCCCTTTCAGCTTCTTTTCGCTAATTGTCTTCCCTCTCTAGGTTGTAGAGCACGTAGGTGCTCAAGTGGATAGAGGCACTGGCCTGGACTCATCTTCATTAGTTAAAATCTGGCCTTAGGCACTTACTAGTTGTGTAAGCCTGGGCAATTCACTTAACCTTGTTTGCTTCAGTTTCCTCATCTGTAAAATAAGATATAGAAGGAAATGGCAAAGCGCTCCAGTATCTTTGCCAAGAAAAGGGTCTGGAAGAGTCCGACACTGGACTAAACAACAATGAACATTGGATTGTAAGCTCCTTGCAGGGACGGTTTTTCTTTTTCTAATTTGTATCCCCAGCCCTTAGCACAGTGCTTGGTCATAGTAAGCATCTAATAAATGTTTATCATATTGGTATCGGTATTAATTCTCCAACCCGACCTCATTTGACAGAGGAGCTATTTGAGGCCCACAGTACCATAATAACTTGTCCAAGGTCACTTAGATGGTTAGGACTAGAACAAAGGAATCTAAAACATAAATGGTAACTAGAGATATATGGTCATGTTTAGATATGTGCATTTAAAAACATCTTCCCAAACGTAGGACTATTTGTGCCCTTTCTATGGGAGAGTCTCCTAGACCTCTTATTGGTTTGATCAGTCACAGTGGACCATACTGTACCTGGGCCACAACATCATGATGTCATTTTGGTCCCTTTACAAAGGACAACAACAACATGGGGTCACGGACTTGAAGCTAGGAGGGATCTCAGAGGTCAACTAGGTCAAACTCCTCATTTTACAGATGAGGAAACTCATAATAAGCGCTTCGTGTCTGTGATGCTTTGGCATTTGGCATATTTGTATTGCTGGTTTAAATTTTTCACACGGGTGTCTTCTTTACTACAGTCCTCCTGTGATGTCTTGTGGTGGTGTGGAGGTGACCCTGTGTTGACGAGGGCTTTGCCAGCAAAATACAAGCCCTGACAGATCCTACCAAACTGAAGAAGCTTCAAGCGGGTCCGATGATGGACTGCATTGTTTATTTGTAGTCCTGGGAGCAGTTCCAATAAGTAGCAGAGGGATGTACAAGTTAATGAAAGAGTCAAAGTAACTCATGAACATCATCAAAGTCATGGAGGGATTGCAATCTGCATCAGTAGAGGGAGTACCCACACCAAGGAAATCACAGTTCCTTGAAATATGAAAGAATATCTTTTCTGAGCAACCAAGTTGTAAACTCTTTAAAGACGCAAATCAAAGTTTGTTTCTTTTGTTTTCCCCAATGCTAAGCACAAAGGTATTTGGATTTTTTTTAAACACTAAAAAGAATAAAATTATTTGCAAAGAAAAATCTATATTTGTTCTTTTATGCTCCATGTGTGATATTGGGCAAGTCACTTCACTGTACCTCTCTGGGTTTCAGTTTGCCCATCTATAAAATGAGAGGGTTACTCTATAATATCTCTAAGGTCCTTTCCAACTCTAACAGTATATGATCCTGTATTTATCTTACAGTATTTGAAGGGCTCTCACACAGAAAGTAGATTGGTTTTCTGCTTAGTGCCAGAATGCAAAACTAGGAGAAATGAATGGACATTGAAAAAAGGGAAATTTAAGCTTGATGTTAGGAAAACAATTTTAATAATTAGAGCTATTCAAAAATAGGATGGGCAGCTTTGAGAGGTGGTGGGCTCCCCTTATGGGGGTCTTTGAGCAAAGATTGGATGAATATTTTTGGCTATGTCATAAAGGGTTTTTTTTTTCTTTTCAGATATAGGTCTGACTAGACGGCCTCCAAGTTACCCTTCAACTCTGAAATTCTGTGACCTTGTGATCTGTGATCTTATGACTGGTCCTTATTTAAGCAATCAGGAAGTTTCTGGACATAAGGAGGTGGTTGTAGGCTCAAGCAAGATTTGAAAATTGCATCCACTGCCCACTGGAAGGAAGCTTTGGACAGTGACATGTGTTACTTACTTCACAGTACATATACCTGAGGGTGACGGACTGTCTTGGCACACATCTAGGTATTTTTTTTTATATAGACCCATGATTTCACCAGTGGAGGAAGTTTACTGTGTGGGAGCTTCCTAAATTGTTGAAGATTAGTAATTCACCTATAATGACATACTTAGTAAGTGTCTGAAGCAAGATTTGAACCTGTCTTTCTGACTCTAAGGATATACACTATCTACTGGGCTACATGGCATGCATATTTATACAGGCATATTTTAAAACTTAGAGGAGGCAGAGCCAAGATGGTGGAGTAAAGTCAGAAACTTACCTGAACTCTCACAGATTCCCCTTCAAACAACTTTAAGGCCTCAAATCAAAGTCTGTAGCAGTAGAACCAACAAAAGGTTGGGATGAAACAATTTTCCAGCCCAAGACAATTTAAAAAGTTGATAGGAAAGATCTGTCTCTTAGGATGATGGTCAGGCCTGGAGCAAAGTGCAGTACAGGCTGAGTCCCAGAAACCCAGCAGCAGGTCTTGGAAGTGACTGTATCAGCAATAGCACCTTTAGGAGCTCTCAGGCCAAGACTGTATGGGGTTGGACAATTAGTCAGAAGGAGATTACAGGGGATCCTTTGCTGGCACAAGGGGCAGGATGTTGTTGCATTGCCCTTACATAGTTTCAGATCTCAATCCCAGGGCAAAGAGGAGCACTAGTGCTTGTAGCAAAAACAGAGGCCCTGATCACAGTTCCAGGGCAGAAAAGAATGCTTGTGATCAATTACAGACCAGAGCATAGGCCAGGAGAGTAGTAAACAAACCTCTCCTTAGAGGATACCATGTTGAAAGAACCAAAAACTTACAGACTAGCTCTGGAAATATCAGCAGAAAAAGCCTGAAGCATGGCACAGTGCCTCCTCCAGCGTGGGAACACAGCCTAACTTTAACATAAAGTTAAAAGTCAAGAAACAGGCTGGAAAATGAGCAAACAAAAAAAGAACACAACTATAGAAAGGTACTATGGTGACAGAGAAGATCAAGACACAAACTTAAAAGAAGATAATGAAATCAAAATATCTGCATGCAAAGCCTCAAAGAAAAATGTGAATCAGACACAAAC